TTGATAAAGAGAGATAGATTAGGTTGTTTCTTATTGTTCCAAACGCTTTGGAAATGATCATTTAGCTCGTTTGCTAATGTCTCAGTGATAGAATCAGGGATTTGTCCTTTATTGACGAGCTTAATTTCTCGCCAAAAATCTGTATTTCCGGTGGAAAAGCGTCTGTTATAAATACGTTTTCTTTTTATTAATAGTTTGTATTATTGTATTATTTTTTATTATAGACTTGCTTCCCTAGTGTTTTCCATTCGTTGTAATGACCAGATAAAAAAAGTTGCTGACGTTCTTTTATGTGGCTCTGTATAAACGGAGTCATCCAAGGCTTGGGATTAACAAGTGTTGTTGTTCTTAGTGGTTGGCAGATGTCTTGAGTAGAGAGAAAGGAATGATAGAGTTGTTGCAAGCATTTTGTATTTCATATGGTGAGTCAACCAAGGTTTCAAGATTGGTACAACATATTAATGCAACTGTTTCAGCAATTTTTTCTGACCGATGTACAATCTTTCGAGAAGCAGGGCGAGTGGCTTTATAAAGATTAAGTGGTGGCTGAATAACTACAACGAGGTGATCTGAAATTTGGAAGCTAGGGAAGGTATTGGAAACGTAACATTTTAGAGCGTTACTTAAAATGATATCAAGGGTTGCTGACTTCTGGGTAGGTTGTGCATTAAAGTGATTTAGTTGGTTCAGCAAATAAAGTCAGTTGGGCAACCATTAAGATCTCCTGCAAGAATTATAAGTGGTTTGTTTCTGATTGTGCAGCAATTTATTGCTGCTTCGATGAGTTTTGTAAGTTAGCATGATACGATGCGTTGCACACTTTTAGACCAGACCGGGATATAAGCGCAATTTATTATACAGGATGAGTATCCTTGAGGCAGTTGCTTTGGGTATGCACGAGCATAGTTAGTTCAACTTCTTGTTTAGGTATTGAGTTAGGTAGGGAGTTATGTAGGGTTTCGAAGGTTATTTTTATTTCTTCTGTTTTATATGAATACTTTTTATTTATAAGTACAATAGTACCCCCACCTAAACGATCCTGACATTCGGTGCTTATGTAAGTGTAGTTACTACTGATTTGTGAGAGAATAGTCTGGTTGCCATAAGGGCTTAGCCACATTTCATTTAGACAGGCAATATTAATGCTGGTTTCTGTTAGGAATTGATTAAGGATCTCAACTTTGTTACCTAGGAAACGCATGTTTGTGGTGCAGATGCTTGGTAAACTATTAGTATTGGTGGGTGGGCTGATTAGTTGGTGCCCTCTGCCCTAGCGGAGCGAGGGGAGAGGGCAACGCGGATCTTGACAATTGCTCCATTGCGGATGCCCCAGTGAAATGGCGCATCGAGGTTATCAATGCGGAGTTTATCATTACGTGTGTTGCGGTGTTTGCATTAAACATCAAAAATCCCTAATACTATCCAAAAAAAAAGTTTTCAAAAAATGTGTCATGTTGGGTTTCAAATGAAGCAAATTTATATAAAAATGTCAAAAATAATCATGGTTATAAAAAACATCTAAAAAAAATTATAATTAAAAAAATCTTGTTAAATTCCATTTTTTGTTTTAAGAAAAAAATATTTTCTCTTTACTAATAACTAAAATAATAATATATTCATAAAATGATTCATATTTTTGAAATTTTTATATTATTTTACTACATTTGAAACCTAACATGACATTTTGAAAAACTTTTATTTTGATAATATTAGGGACATGTTGTACTTGGTCAACCCCAGGTTGGCAAAAAATTTATTTGGATTTTTTGCTTTCTGTTACAAAAGGGGTAATGATTATTTGATTATAAAAGCATTGTTTTATAAGAGCATATCTACAGACAATATTTTTTTAAAATGCAGCAATTAATTTTTATGTTAGTTAATTTTTAATTTTATTTAATTAATTTTAATTTATGAATTAGTGATCTTTCAGTTTCGATGTTTTCCGTTGTATTTTAATAAAAAAAAATGTTGGAATTGTTTATATTGAGTTTTTTATTTAGTTTCGCTCAATCATAAGACAGCTGTTGCATGCGTTTGAGAATGTAAAATATGGTCTGAAAAATTATTCTTTTTTATGACTGATGTATTAATTTAGCGCAGCCTCAAGTTTTATTGTGACAATTTTTCAAAAGCTCTGAATTTTCTCGGCAAGTTTTACACCAAATTAAAGTTACTTCATCTGATTCATTGCCTCAAAATCGCTGGACTTGTTTTGAGTTTGCTTTGAGTAACAATGTCACACTAATTACTTTGAATTGATTTAATAAAAACCTTGAATTTAATGAAAAATTTGTATCATATTTAAAAAAAAGTTGAATGTTTTTTAATTAACATATTTCTCCTCCACATGTGTTTAACATAACTATATCAAGACTAATTGGTATAGCTATGCTAAACACATATGGAGATTTAGATCGACAGCTGTATGCTGTTGTAAAGAAAAGATAGGTTGGCTTTTTGTCAGAATTGCTGAACGCTGACCTGAATTTCGCAGGCTGTAAACATATTAGATATATATATAGATATATATATATATATATATATATATATATATATATATATATATATATATATATATATATATATATATATATATATCTGTGTGTGTGTGTGTGTGTGTGTGTGTGTGTGTGTGTGTGTGTGTGTGTGTGTGTGTGTGTGTGTGTGTGTGTGTGTGTGTGTGTGTGTGTGTAGTATATATAAAGGCTGCGAAATTCAGGTCAGCATTCAGCATTTCCGACAAAAAGCCAACCTATCTTTACTTTAAAACGGCATTCAGGAGCTATATTAGGAAAATAGTTTGGGTCTGTGTAACCCCCCCCCCCCCCTCTGTGCTGGCAGCTGTTGTAAAAAAATTTAGCGGAAACATTGCTGTATGTAGGCATTTTTAGTCCTCAATTTCTAAATATGGGCAGAGCGTAAATATCACACAAATATGTTCAAGGTTGTTAAAAAAGGTCCAGAATAGCCCCTCAGGAGCTATTCTAGACTGTTTCGATAGCACAACCATATTTGGGCGCCACCCAAATTAAAATTAGAACTTTTTTTTTTTTTTTATATTATTATGGCAAATATTGTTTTTGTGTGTGAAAACAACACTGATTTTCTGCTAAAGTTTGCCGGAATGAGGGGATACTAAATTTTTTTCCTAGAATAGGCTCTGCCCATATATATATATATATATATATATATATTAGAACCCTGCGAATTGATTGCTGCTTCTATTCGAGATTCAATTCAGAAAAAATGATTTGAGTAATCAAATCATTTCATTGTTTTTTTGTTTTTATATATATAACATTTAAAATTTTGTAATGCAATTTAATAAAATTAATTTAACTAATGACTTCAATTAATGACACTGTTAAAGATTTTCCTTAACTCTTTAGAAACTAACATCTGAGATAAAATACAAGATTTAACTAAGAATAACAGACAGGACTTTTTAACATAACTTTTTGCAATAATAAAAAAATATTTGTTCTCAAGAGAGATATTCTCGTAAAAAAGATGAAAAAAAAAATTGAAAAAAAAGCAGTGATGTATCCGGAAATTTTTTGGCTATACCGGTCTAAAAATCCTGTCTACCTTTTTTTTTTTAATTTTTTTTTTAAACACAAATTTAAATATAATTATTTATATACAATATAACTTGCCCTAGTATTTTATGTTTTTCCTGATAAAAATGTAAACAGTTAACCAAAAAAATGTTACATTTATTACAAAATGATGGGCTTTAACGTCAACATTGATTTGCTTCTAGTTTTCATTTACTTGCTTTATTTGCTTACTAATATAAAGAGTATTATTTCATAAACAAGCAATAATTATAACATGTTATAACAATTCTTTTATAAAAACTTAAAAAGATTTATTACATAGCGTATTTATTGCATAACAAGATCAATTCATTCAAAATTTTAACTAATTCAAAAATTAATAACTTTTTTTTCTCATTCTAATCTTACTTTTCAAATCAAGTTTTTTGGCACGATTATTATTATGTCATTATGTTTTGAAAACTTTTATTTGTTTTATTAATTAAAATATTTTTAATGCAATTTTACTGTTATTTGAAATGAAAAAGTTTAAAGCTCATATAGTTTAACCGCTTTGAAAATTATATTATGAAAACATGAGCCAAGGAGAAACTTAAATTAGAGAATTTTAAAAATGTTAATGTTTTTATTTTAAAATGCTAAGCGTTTCATATTTTAATCCAATCAAAACGTGTGTTTTACATTTTAATCCAATTGTAACATGAATATGTTACAATTCCACTTATCATCAATTACAATTCCAACTATCATCAATATGAATTCGAATAAAGCATTCTGATTGACTTAAAATCCATTTATAATGTGTTTTAGAAGTCGTTTTTCCAATGTTGGTTTTTCTAAGCGAAATTAATAACATAACAATTTTTTTTTTTATCTTAATTATCATAACAAACTTTATCACAAAACAGCAAGACAATAAGTAATAAAAAATTATTTTATTTTATTATTTTGGGTGCTAATATAAAATTGAAATTTGGGGGCCCATACCGGTATACTGGTATCAAAATCAGCCTGGATACGTTGCTGAAAAGATAAAAAAAAATTAATAAAACAACTGAGCAAAAAGCTGAAAAATATGGAGTTTAATGAGGCTTGATTTAAAACCGAAAAGAAGTAATAAAAGCTTCCATACCTATATGGATCCAGGAGGTTAGGTAAGAAGCACATTTATGCATATATAATATGGATATATATCTTTACATATTTATATAAACTTTATTATTTATATAAAATGAAAAGATGAGGGTCAGAATAATGTGGTATGACTATAACAAGACCAGAAAAGGAGCCATAATTTTAGACAGATGTTAGAAATAAAGTTGTATCAAACAATGCCTGTTAGAGAAGATAAAAGCGGTTTGGAAATAAGCATGTAGAGAGGAGCAGTTTCAGAATAAAAATGATAGAGGTAGAAAGTAAGAAAACTTGGAAAACAACAACAAACAAGTGCATTACATATGGTATGAACAAGGATTAGTTAATAAAAAATGTTTATAGATGTTATAGATAATAAATATAGTTACAGATCAGGGCACAACAAATCAATTTTTTTAAATAAACGTTGATATTCGTATCTTTATTTATTGACGAACATCTTATTTAAGAGATATATGTCAAATAAGCCATTTTTATTTTCAATTCTTTCAGTTTTCAATTTTTTTTTTTATCTAAATAATTTTTATTAAATTATAAATGAGTTTTATTTACAAATAACTTTTATTCTAGTAAATAAGTTATTAGATATATCAAAGATGCTTATTTTTAATTTTTTATAAAATTCAAATCAATTTTTCACAGATTTGCAAAGTGCGCACAAATTAATGATAACTAATATGCAATAACCTTATGACTATAAACTGTTCTCCATTAATAAAAAATGATTAATGAATTTTTTCTCCAATAAGTTATATTTCTTTACTTATAAAAAAACGTATAAACTTGAAGAAATTTAAGGAAACTAAAAATAAAATAAAGTGGTTTTGACATTTTTTTTTAAACCTTTAAAAATAATATAATATTAAGCATTTAATAAGTTATTATATTTTTATTATTAAATACTTAATAAAATATCATTTTATTTATAATATTAAGTATTTAATAATAAAAATATCATATTATTGGTGTTGTTAAACACACAATAAAAAATGAAAACTATAATAAACATAAAAGCTTTATAATATAGAACTATAATATAGAATATATTATATTTTATTAAATTATATATATTTCATCAAAACTTAAAAAATCTTTTTAAAACTTTTAAAAATGTTTTTAGTATGCAAACAAACGTTACGTTAACGATAAAAAAACTTAAAGAAAGCAGGCTTTTGAAGAAATCAATGTTTTAAGGTGTTTCTTTTAAAGTAATTACAAATGCTTTCATTTTAACTAAAATTTTTAATGCTTTTGTAAATGTATGTAAAAACCATGCTCAAACTTATTACTTTTTTCAGTTGCGTACTTAGTTATTAAACTTAAAAGTAACGCTATTGAAGAAAATAACCATGTTTTAGCATGGTTTCTTTTAAAGTCATTTTAAATTCTAGTATTTAGTTGTTTTTTTTATAATAAAAAACTATTAATTGCATAGTTATTTGGAAAAAAAGTAATGCATTTGTTTTAATTTTTAAGCGAATGCCAACGTTTGCATAAGTAAAAGTAAAAAAAAGTGATGTTTGTTTTTTGTCTTTTTTTTAACAAACATTTTGTTGTTCATCAATTTGTCAATTCCTGTAGATAATAAATATAGTAACAGATAATAACTATAGTTATGTTATAGATAATAAATATAGTTATAGATGCTATAGCTAATAATAAATGTTTATAGATGTTTAGAGCTAAATGTTTATAGTTGATAAAAAATGATTATAGTTATAAGAAAATCTTTGAAATTGTTTATATTCAAGAAACAACATAAAATGATTAAATATGGTCAAATTTAACTTTCTGCACAAAATATACAAATATCTCTTTTGGATTTCAAAAGCTTGATAATGACAATAATGATGATTGCTTTAGGTTTTTTAAAAGTATTCTTTAGAATATATCAATGTTTACGCAGCCTTGGTCAAAATCAAGCCTCAGTTATTTTTTATTAAACCTGGCCCCAACCCTGATCCAAAAAGGTTTTTTATTTGACAACTTAGTCACAGCTGTTTGTGAGTTTTATTATATTAGGCATTTTAATACTTTGCAGGAAAAACAAGGAAAGCAAAACTAACAAAATATGAAATTAAAATAAATTTAAATAAAAAAAATATTTATTTGAATAATTTGTGTCCTGTTTTTATTTTAGTTTTTTAGGGTGATTATTGTTAAATTTAGTATTTCAAAAGATTTTATTGCAATATATATACATAGGAGCCTCAGGGAAGAAAGAGAAAATATTATATTATAGTAAGAGTTAGCTGAAAACTATAAAAAAGTGTGGTACAGATGTCAAGTATAAAAGCACAAAATTCAAGCAAAGATTTATTAATAATTATCAAAATTTAATAGTGGTTCCAAACCACAGCCATTCTGCACATGAAGTATTAGTCTTATCCAAATAAGCTAAATGTGCATTTACTAATGAAAAATAAATATAATTATATAATTAAAAAAGTGATTTAAAAGTAAAGCATATGAGATAGATAAGTTTATATACATAAATGAACAAACCGACATATGAGTTTGTATAAACATATACACATGTATTACATAGACATATTTATATAGGGGCAATATATACTTGTTACATTAAAATTATATAAATATATTTTACAAACAGATAGCAATTTATATTTTTGATTTCCTCTTAAATAAACAAATAAAATATATGAATCAGTTTTTTTAATGTTAACTTAAAACAGTTTTTTTTTGTTTTTTTGCTTCGCCTTTCATTGCTGAAGATAACAACCACCCTAAAGAAACAAAAAATAAAAGCAGTACATAAAAATTATGTAAACTTTTTTTTTTTTTATTCAAATTTTGTTGTTTCTCATTAAAAAAAACTTTAAAAGTTAAGCGCAAAATGCCTCATCAATCTAAATTTAATTCAACATTTTCAGGACCTATTATAGGAAAAAAAAATTGGGCGGCGGTATCCCCTTGTTTCGACAAACTTTTGCAGAAAAATGGTGTTTTTTTTTTCGTGAAAAAAAACAATATTTGCTGTAAAAACATATTAAAAAAAAAAAAGTTCCTCAAATTTTAATTTGGGCAGCATGCAAATCGAAGTCTCTAGACATGTCATCCGTATGTGTCTCCTGGGAAAGCTTGAATATATTTTTAAACAACTCTTGCTTAGAGTTTTTTCTTTTTAGAGCAAGATAGTAAAAATTAGACTTTTGATGCTTGAAATGTGTAAATAGTAAGTAATTTGAAATAATCTGCTTTCTTGCTAACATTTTTTCATTATAAAGTTTGAAAATAAAATCAAAAACATAAAACTAGAGTCAATAAAGATTATTATTGTTACAATTATTAGTAATTTAAAATATTTATTAGTAACTATCTTCAATAAATAATAACTATAGCAACAATTATAATAATAAATAACATCTAACTTACTAAATAATATAACTAACCTCTAAATGCCTATTTGTATTTTCAGGAACTTTTCCATTTTCTTTCTCATACTGAAAAGTGGTATATTTTTTTCCATCGTGAATATGAGTTGCAGAAGCCATACAAACTTTTAGATCTGAATCAATAGGAATTGTCTGTCCAATTTTGTAATGAGATATTAAGCTTATCTCAGAACCCATTTTATGTATTTATATATACCTGAATATTTAGAAGGAAAAAACAATGTAAGAAACATTGTGCAGCTTGTATTTAAAAAAAATAACTCAAATTAGATAACTTAAAAAATAAATAAATGACTTAAAAAATAAATAAATGACAAATACAAGATGTAAGATTTTAGTAAGAAAGCAGGGTCTGGATGTATCAGAGTGGATTGAAAAATCATCCTAAATGTCATCCTGAAGAAACCTTCTTTTTCAAAGTTGAGAAGAAGAGTGTGGTCATTATATTAAAGAGAGAGGGTAATAAGACACGTGTATAAGAAATATTAAAATCAGCATCTTATATTACCAAACTCATTTTACATATAATAATCATAAAGCTATTTATATTTTATTTACTTTTAATAATAATATAATATATGTATGTATGTATGTGTATATATATATATATATATATATATATATATATATATATATATATATATACATACATATATAATATTTGTGTGTATATGTGTGTGCATATGAGGAAAAAAAAGATATAAATGCAGCATTAGATGCACACTGATAGTATCATACTGAAATAGGAAGATACAGGGTCTTCAAAACATACGTTGACTGACTTAACATGAAAGAAATGACTAAGAGTTAGAGTTAGGGCAACAATCAATTTTTTTATTAATCTTTATTTTTCCTTCTTTTTCTGAAAAATTAAAGCACACATTTAAATCATATTACCTGTGGCATATATATATATATATATATATATATATATATATATATATATATATATATATATATATATATATATATATATATATATATATATATATATATATATATATATATATATATATATATATATATATATATATATATATATATATATATATATATATATATATATATCAATATCAGGATATATGTGGTGCATAACTTTAACTTTCAACAATGCATCTCTTGGTGTTGGATGTAGAGATAACTCTCTAAACACAGCCCATGCACATTGTATTCTTGATGTCATTTCTAATCTAACAGCTGTTTTGTTGAATTTGTTAGATAATGAAACTTACCACCAAGTTATTTTTCCACCACTATTTAGTTCAATCTCTTTTTTGACTTCTCTGTACTTAGCAAAAGTACATTTTCTACTATCAACATAAATCACCTGGATAGCGTAGTTCCTATTGGAAATCAACACTGAACTCTTTAGAACCTCCAAAACAATAATAAACTCAAATAAAAACTAAGTATTTATAAGATTACTAAGATTATATATTGTATAATATTTATTATTGTATTGTATTATATATTGTATAATATTTATTATTGTATTGTATTATATATTGCATAATATTTATTATTGTATTGTATTATTATAATACAATACAATAATAAATATTATACAATATATAATATATATTGTATAATATTTATTATTGTATTGTATTATATATTGTATAATATACAATCTTAGTAATCTTTTACTTTAGTTATTTTAAAGGATGAAAAATCATCCTTTATAATTAATACATATTTTTCAACAAAAGATAAAACTCCTTAACATCTCTGTGTCAAGTGTCATATATATAATATTTAACTCAATAAATAATATTTATTGAGTTAAATATTAGTCATATTTATTAAATATGAGTAAATTATAATTAGTAATACACTTTAATAAACTGATTTATATCATTCATTATATTATATCATATTTTATAATTAAAAATATTATTCATATATTATATTGAATATATAAAATATGGTAAATTTTAAATGCATCGAAAAAACCTTATTAAAATGAATTATTATAATAATTATAAAAATTCATTTTAATAAGTTTACTTGTTAACATAACTAACTAAACTTAATAACATTACTAACATAAAATTCAAGTTTTGTAGATTCTAAAAGTAAGAACTATTTCACTTATAAAACATTAGAAAAAACATTAAAAAATAGACTAGAATTTCCACCTTTTCCTTGATATAAAAGTAAAATTAAAAAATGATATAACTTGTTACGCATGGTTCGCACTAAATAAAATTTGAAAACATTAGGCAAGTTTTTTTGGTTTTTTCATTTTTAGCCAACCAAAAATCTTGATTTTAAATTTTGACGTCACGGGTAATTTTCTTGTTAATTAAGAGAAAAAGTATAAATAATACTTGTAAGTTTTAATTTACGAGAAAATTTTTGGCAAGTCAGAAAGTTAAGAGCCGTTATAACGGCTCCAACTTTCTGACTTGCCAAAAATTTTCCACTGTGCAAATTTTAATTAAAATTTGCTCAGCAATATATTTTAAAGATAAAATACCGCTCTTAGTGAGATATCTTTAAGGAAGATAACCACACAAAAAATATTTTTTTAATGAAAAAATTTAATTTTTGATATTTAAGTGTAATATTACTTCAATGATCGATTTTAACTATGGCAAACTTAAATTAATTTTTAAAATTAATCTATTTTGGATAGTTTCTTGGTTAGTATTAAAAAGCGTCATTAACAACGGCCAATTCAACAGTTTTATTTTGTGCATTTTAACAATATTAAGCTTGAATTGCAACATGATATCTAAATATTGGATCAAGCAATTTTCTTCAAGGAAAGGGAATTTTAGTGTTTTGACAAAGCTCTACCCTTTCAGAATATTGCGAAAAGCAAAAAATATAAAAAAATAATAAAGCTAAGTATAGTTTGTTTCATAGATCTTAATTCGTTCGTATTTTATGAATTGACAGACAGTTGCTAAGTTTCAAAGCTTAAACTAAAACTTAAAAAATTGTGTTACAAGTGTAGGTATTAAATGCATCATTTCAACGTGATTTCGACAATCTTCTGCTTTTTTATGAAAGATCTACTTATTTTGCGTTATTTACGTTGCACGAAATATATATTCTAGTTTAAATCAAATGATTGTTTTTTTTTGGTGATTGATAACCAAAAATAACCCCTTAGATGCAACTAAAAAATAAGAAAATAAATTATAATCACTTTCAAGAATTTTAAGAAGAAAACCAAGACTTGTAATTAAGAAAAAAGCTTAAACAATATGACATTAAATCATTCTACCAATAAAAAACCGTCTTATGCAATGACAAATCAAAATCAACACCCAACAGCAATCCAGAAAGTTAACAGCCTTCTAACTGATCAATTAAATTGATCAGTTAGAAGGCGTTAACTTTCTGGTTAAATGCTCTTCTTCAGTGCTATGTAATAAGACCCTTACGCCTTCTTAACAACCTAAATCTAAATAAATAAAAAGCATCGAGGGGTTTAAAATATTGAGCAGTAACCGTTTTTAAAATTTTAATATGATGAAATCAATAAAATTTTAATGATGAAATCAATAAATTCATTCAAGTTTCAAAATAAAAAGAGAAATTTTAAAATATAGTGTCAGCATTGAACTTTATCAAACACATAATTTTATTAAATTTCATTTCTTAAGTTATAAAAAAACATACCACAATTTATTGTAGAGTTGGGAATCACGAGATCCCGCGGTTTTTAACATTCCCAAATCCCGGAATAAAACATTTAATCTCAGGATTTGACTATTTAGAAACCATGGAAGTATAAAACAGATGGAAATTTATCAAGCCAACTTACCAACTATCTTACCAACTATCTTATTAAATATAGCTAATTTTTAAAAGCTATCTTACCAAAAGAAAACAGTTTGTACATAATGTCCATTCTGGAGTATTAAATGTTTTATGTGGATTCTCGCAGGGTTCAATTCTTGGTCCACTCCTTTTTCTTATATATATAAATGACTTCTGTAGTGCCTCTTTAAAACTGAATTCAGTCATGTTTGCAGATGACACGAATTTATTGATTACCAACAATGAAATCAAAACATTATATGCTGATATGAACATAGAACTAGTTAAAGTAAACAACTGGTTTAAAGCTAACAAACTCTCGCTTAATGCTGAGAAAACAAGTTATATACTATTCCATAGAAAAATACGAGAGGAAAATCTTCCTCTCAAATAGCCTAAACTATCCCTAAATGATAAACTAATTAAAAAGCAATCCAATATAAAATTCTTAGGAATCACTGTTGAACAAAATTTATCCTGGGTTCCTCATATAATATACATCCAGTCAAAAATCACCAAAACCATAGGTTTGATGCATCGAGTTCGCTCTTACGTCAATACACAAAGTCTGAAATTAATCTACTTTGGGCTAATACATAGCTTCATCAGTTATGCAAACATTTTATGGGCAAGTACTCAAACATCAAAGCTTAAAAAACTGTATAGTTTACAAAAACATGCTTGCAGAATCATTTACTATAAGGATAGGCGTGAACACGCTAAACCTTTAATGAGTGATATGAAAATGATGGATGTGTTTGAAATAAATATCTATCAGCATTTAATTTTTATGTATCGTTACATTTACAATATCTCTCCTATAAGCTTTAATAACAAGTTTGAATTAAATAAAAATGAAAACTATAATCTGTTAAACACATATAAACTGCCTCGGATAATAAACAAATATTCAGAATATAGCATTTCATATCGAGGTCCTAAAGTATGGAATACCTTTCAAAAAGGATTCAAAGGTACGGTAAATTCGTTAAGTTCATTCAAGTTTACAACAAAAAAAGAAATTGTTAAAATTTAAGAAACCTTTTTGGTTAATTTTACCACCCTACTTTTTGTTATTCTTGTTATTGTTGTTTAACAATCTTATTAGCGAATTACGCATTTTATTACGATATTTATTACGATGTTCAATTGAAATTTTATTACGTAAATATTTTACGAAATGTTTTATGAAATTTTGTTACGTATTACGTAATACGATATTTTATTAAAATTTTGTTAAAGGGACTCTATGAAAAGATTGCGATGACGTACTGTCATCCTCATCTTCATTGAGCCCCTATCTGTTTTTACTTACTTTTTTTTTTATGAAGCACGAAGTTGTAAAATTCTTATGTTATGAAACAGAAAAAGAAAGAAAAAAATAAATAAATAAATAAAATAAAAACCTAAATGTAATAAAATAAGAATTATTCTAAGAATTTGCTGCATAGTTTTAACTATTAGTAATTGTAATTATTCGACGAAAGGTTTATTAAAACTCTGTAATTAAATAGAACCACTTTATTTAAAAAGCATATGCTAGTTTAAGCTTCTTTTCTTGTTTCAAATCGTAACACGACATTTGATTAAAAAGACAACTAAAAAGTCAACGTATGAAGATTGAGCGTTTAAATGCAGTCTTGATGTCGTTTTCTTCTTGTTTACGAAACAAAAGGTTACAAGCATAGTCTCGAAGCATTTAAATGGGGTTGAACTTCCATTTTTTTATACTTTCATGCTAAAACGAAGCAGAACTTACAGTTTCTTTAATTTTTTTTTTTAAATTGTGTTTGGTTGAGACTTGATTATTTTCACACTGCAAATTCGTTATACTTTTTACTTTGTTTGAAATTAAATTCAAAATTTATAAACTCGAAATTCTTCCAATTCTATTTTTAAATATTGCACATTTTAAAATTTGTTGGCACTTAGTCGCATTTATTCAAGTTTCTCACAATTTTTATCTCAAATAGACATTTATTACTGACTATTTTATAACACTACTTTTAATTAAAATACTGGACGAATAAGGAACAGTCACAGTAAAAGAATGAGATTAACTGAATTTATAAATAGAAAATTGTAGCATATATAGAAAAAGAGGAAGAGAAGCCACATTACGAGAATGTGATAATGGTTGGAGGTTGGCTGCAAGAGCAGGTCCAACTATGTATGCACTACCTTTTTTATCCTTTTCTAAAAGAGGAATGACATCATTCAAAAATCCACCATAGATATGGCAAGACTATTCCATTCAAGGACGGATTTAAGACTTATAGAGATAAAGAAAAGAATCCAGAGTAAGAAAGTGACGAGCACGATAAAGAGATGCAATCTTAGCGGATGCTAATTTTGCAATGGATTTGATATATGGTATCCAAAAAAGATTGGAAGTAAAAGTTAATTCTAGAAGATGAAGAGTAGATGACTTATCGAGTACATTATCGTTCATAAATATAGGAAGATCTAGATTATTGCAATAATGATTAGCTGAAAAATATTGACCTTTATCTGAGTTAAAGTTCACCAGCCTCTGAGAACCTCATGCTTTGTTTGCCATGCCATGATTTGTTAAAAGATATTTTTTGTATTTTGACTGACAGAGCGATTGCGATGAAATCTCAATCGCTGTCAGTCAAAATACAATCACCCCCTGCCCCAAATGTGAGAGCATCAAGTTGATAAAATATTTTTTGTATTATTTTCAACTAGAATTATATTCATCTCAAAAACCAAAAAATGCTGACGGCGCCCCTGATTATGAAATATAAGAGTGATAACCAACTAAACTTATTTTTGAACCTTATACTATATTCCAATAAGAAAATAAAGAGAAGAAAATGGTTATTTCAAAATTATTTTTTGGAAAAAATAGTTTTAAAATAATTACAGTGGAATAAAATCACGCTACTACACTAACCAATGTTGCATTTATGACCAGAATGGTCATCAGAGCGCGTATCTTTTGATTTTGATGTTTATAATTTACGCGTTATAGCGTTAATTTTTTTCATCATAATATAAAAAAATTTGTGCGGACCGCAAAGAACATACTTAATTTCACGCTTGTTTACAAAGTAACTAATCCAAGTTAGCTTTTATTTATAATTCTTGATTTTAGTTTGCTTTACGCAAATTTTATTTTTGTTGTGATGGTGAATAAATTTAGATTATGCTGGCAAGATTGCGAACAAAATCTTCAGATAAAAATTTAGATTAAAACATCTTTATATTTAGATTTGCATTTAAATTCGTGATAGAGTTTTTTTTTATTGTTTTGCTCTTTAAAAAAGAAAAAAACTGATAAATCAATTATAAACTTTTGGTTTTTTCAAAAATGACCTTGATTTCCCCCCTCTCAATTTTTTTCAAAATTTTTTTTATATAATATTCAAAATTTTTTTTATATAATATTCAAATTGTTGATCATAACTTATTACACAAAACTTATTAAAAGTTAGTTCTTGAAAATGCTTACATTAGTTTAAATAATAATAAAAAGTATGATTCAATCTTAAATGTCGAATAACTTTATATGTTGAACAAAATATTATTTTTTTTTTTTAATTTAAACTAATTTAGCTAGTCTAGTTTTTATAAGTTGCTTAAAAATAGTAGTTTTATGATGTTATCTTTGGTTTTTCATATAAAATACAATAAAAGTTATTTAAAAAATTTAGAAATTATTAAATTTGGAATTTTATAGTATAAATTAATTATTTTTAGATTAATTTACATGAAAACGTTGTGTTGTTTAATTGAAAAAGACATAAAGAATGTTGGAGTCATATATTGCTCCTTTATTTATGGGTTATGTCAACAAGTATATCAAGAATTTACGGCCAGAAGATCTGAGTTTATCATTTTGGGGTGGGGATGTTGTTTTAAATAATTTGGAATTAAATCTAGATGTTCTGCAACAGGTAAGGTCTGAAGAAAAACTTGTTATTTCTATTTAATTTAAGTTCAATAAACTTGAACTTAATAGTAATGTTTTTATTTGGTTTTTATTTTTTTTAACATTAAACATTATACTAATAAAAACTAAAAAAAAAAAATTAACTGTAGTTTTATAATTCTTTATTTTGATTTACAAATGTTGAAAATAAAAATAGAGTTTATAGAAATTATAGTTATATTTTAGAAAGAAAATTAGCTATAATTAAATGTTTTTAAATAGGTTTTTAAAGATTTTAAATGTAAAAAAGCTAAGCTGAATAGGAGAACAGTTTTAGGAATTTATCATTTATTTTTATTTTTGTAACTGAACCATCGGTCCAATTCCAATTGTTTATTATAGTAACTTTATACCACATTAAATCACCTAATTAACCTATCGGTATGCCAACCAATACTTAATTCAGATATCTGCAAACAAATTAGGGAGCAATTGAGGAAAATGGGTTGAATTATGAAAAAATTAGTATGTTATCAGGGAAAATGGCTTGTCATCAAACTTACTTATGTTAATGTAAAATTTTATTAGGCAGTAAGTTTTATAAACTTCTCTTATTACTTTGTAAGTGTATTGTATAAATGTTTATATTTTTGCTATTAAATAGCCTTTTTCTAAAAAAATTTAAGCCTATTTTTTCTGAAGTTGAGTTTAGGAAAACAGGTAGTAGATCAGAGAAACATCAAGGAAAAATCAAGAAAATTTATATTTAAAATATTAGCAGATACCATGTTTTAGACGTGCAGCCAGTAATTTTTATTTATATATACAAGAGCACAAAGCGTGTGTGTATTCCGATGTTTAAACAGAATCTTATACAAATTTATTAATCAGTTTTTCTAAAAAATTTTTAATTTTTTTGTTTGTACAAGATATATATATCCATATATAAATATAAACAGTTAAATAAAATCCTTTAAATATGTCAGTTTTATTTTAATCTTTATTGATCTTTGTATTTCAGCTTGTGGTTTGACCATTAAATTTTTTGGGATAATTTTTATTTTTTTTATTTCATTCTCTCATCTGATGTTATGGTAGCTGCAATACTTGTCAGTGTTTTGTAACGTAGATCAAGTTGTTCATACTGCTATACAAGCAGTATTATTATTTCTTATCAGATGTTTACAATTGTGTCTATATAATCTTCTTTAATTATCTACAATGTTGTGGGTAATTGCCAAGGTAATGTTAACTTTTTTAGAACTGTAACTTTTGTCCATTTTCCATCCGTTTTCACAGTAGGTTAGGAATGCAATGTTGAAAGATTTTTTCCTTTTTGTTGTTATTATGGTGATAAGGCATTTTATGCAATTAAGTATAATTTTATCAATATCTTTTATAAGTCCTAGAATTCTAGCTTTTGTCTTCAGGGTTTCAAGACTTGGTAAGGAATATATAAAACTGTTTTAATATAAGTGATCTTATTGCAGTTGATATAACATTTTCTTTTCTTTAAAAATCATTCTTTCTGCGAGGTGTAAGTTATTACAGATAGTCTAATATTTCTTTTAATTAGTTATTTAGTTTATTATTTTAGAGAGCACAAGATTGAGTTTGGTGTCATGTTGAAATTGCTTTAATTTTTCTGTTGATATTAGCAAATTTCTTACTAGAGTGCAAACCATGTCATTGCAATCCTCATTTTTTCTTCCCAAGTATTTAGGTGGGCATATGGTAAGGAGTCAGCAATGTGTAAATCTTTTCCTAGAACATATTTTACTGCAACATGATATTTTAAAATCCTATTTGGAGTCTTTGTATGCAAGATGTTGCTTTTGACAGGGGCTATGTTCTAAAGATTTGTGATCACTTTAAATTGAGGTCTGTTGTCCATAGGTGCATTGGTTAAAACATTCACAAGAAAAAGTGATTGCTAAAAGTTCTTTCTTTAATAAAAAATCTTCGAATTTCTATTGTGAGAAGTATAGTGTAATACAAGATCCTAATCCATGTGGAATATTAGATGCATTGACTTGTATCTGGACATATTTTTGGTGTATAGAAAAATGAGAGTGAAAAAAAAGATAACATTACTTTTTAATATTTTCATTTTCATCTATGACATGTTTGGGATGAATTGTCGCAGAGAGTTGACTATTTCCAAGAGATGTTGCAAATCTGCTTAACTTGCAGGTAAAAGGTATGCAGATATGGATTTATTATGTCTATGTGACTAATTATGTTGCTGAGATACTTGATTTCAGATAGTTAAAGTTATATTTTTTTGAGGTTGAATCTGATGTTTTTTTCACATGGAGAATTTGTTGGAAAAGTTAGTCATGCTTTGCATTTGCTTTAGATCCAATAATCAGGCAAAGTAATAATAGGCAGAGCATTAGGAATATCGCTAAAGTTTAGTTCGATCATTACTTGTGCAACATCAGATACACATGATATTCTAAATGCTATACAGTTAAATTTGTACTAACCATACAGAGTGTTGATTATACAAAGTTTTGCAATATGAAACTAAACTCTTTTTATACTAATGTTTTACAAAAAAAAGGGTATCAAATTGTTATTGCTAAAAGCTGTATAACGCAACAGTAAAACAACACTGCATGTTTGTTATTCAATATAAAAAACTTGTTTTATTATAAATTAACCTTGCCATGTTGTTTTATTGTTGTTTTATATAGTTTATAACATTGTTTATAACAAAAATAGTCTTTTTATTTAAGTTGTTCTATTTTAATGAAAACACAGATTTACTTCTGGTACCATGCAATACTTGGAAAGGTTCGTTTAGGTATCAAATACAATATGCAAGTTTTAGGCAGGCAGTCTACCATTTTTATTTATATCTATGAGTACATGAAGTATGCATGTATTCTGCAACAACATGGATATTACAAGAAAATATAGATGACATTTGTTAAGCTTTGAAATGCTTTTGACAGAGTATAAAGATTTTTTTGCTTTTTGCTCTTTGCTTTTTTGCTCTTTTCGCTTTAAAAATAAATATGAATAAATCAACAATTGTGTTTTAAAGTAAAGAATACGAAACCAGAAAACAGCCAGAAAATACTGGAAATTAATTATGCGGAGTTTGTAAGAAAAATTTAGATCAAATTTAATTGTTTGTGCAGTTTGTATACAATTTGTTCACAAGTGATGTAGAGGTATACAAAGCGCTTTTAATATTTGCAAGGTTACTATTTGAGTGTACCATTAAAATTTTTTAATATTTAATGGTAAAATTTATACAAAAAAGTTATACATTGCATGCATCTATAATATTGTGATGTATAGCAGTGAAATGTGGTCAATTAAGCTTGATGAGGTCCATTGTCTGGAAAAAACAGAGCAAAGGATGATTAGATGGATGTATGATATAACTTTAAATAATAAAAATTATAAGAAGTAACAGTTTTATACAGAGTTTGAATATAGTGCATATTGGATCTCTGTAGTTAATTGTAAGTGCTAAAATTTATAGTTTATTAAAATTAATTTTTTATAATTAAATATCAGTTGATGAAACTAAATTATATAATATTTAGTATAGTTTAGTATAGTATAGTTTAATTTAGTTTAGTAGAGTTTAGTAGAAATAATGACACACAGATTTTTTTGGTATAGAAAAATAAAATACAGTGTGCAAAATAAAAAATCAAAGGTGGGCAGTCAATATGACCATTTAACATAGAATCGATAGTCAATTATTTTTTTAAACTAATTAAAAAAATAAAAGAATTATCTGCATTTTAATTTTAGTCTTTTAATAAGAATTACCACACTGACTTAGTAAATAAAAAAAACATTTATGCTTTAAAAATATTACTTTAAACATAATTTTAAATCAGTTGCTTTTTTTTAAATTAAAACTTACAACAACTTTAATGATAAATAACTAACAAGTATTTATTACAGATGATGTTTTATTTTAAAAGGGTATCAAATTCTTATTTCAAAAAGCTGTATAACAAAAAAAAAATACGTATAAAACAACACTGCAAAATTGTCTTGTCAATATAAAAAACTTGCGCTATTATAAAACAGCCTCATTGTGTTGTTTTATTGTTATTATATACAGTTTATAACATTTAAAATATAAGACACACCTAAAATAAAACGTGTTTAAGCATCTGTGTGAATGGGTATAATGCTCCAAATAACAGGTGATAAGTAGTTATCTGTAATGAATTTATAATATATGTATAATATCTGTAATTGTGATAAGTATTGTACTGTTTAAAAAATGGTATCAATTTAAACATATTTTCTTTATGTACATACTGGTTAATAGCAAAGCCACTTTATTTAACCAATGATACAAACTTGGACAGGAATGGCGTGCGATGGAGTGCTATAGCTGACCACGCAAATGATTTTATTTCTTGACAACTTGACCACTATTGTTTATGATTTAAACATTTTTGATGATTTAAACAATGTTTTGATGATTCAAACATTTCAGAAATGCGCTGAATGTTGAAACGATAAGCTAAACTTAAACTTGAAAAAAAACTAAATTCCTAACGAAAAAAAATTCTTTATGAAAAAGAAATTATATAAGCACTAAAATAAAAATAAAAACTTAAACTCGAAGCAAAACTTTTTGTTACATTTTAATAAAGTTTGAAATTTTTTTAAACGTTTTATTAATATTACGCAAAACGCTTTTAAATTAAGTTACAAATTACTACTAATGATTGTTTTATAAATGAACAAATTTTACCAATTTATTAAAGTGTTGTATTTAATATTTTTAAATTGTATAAACATTAATTTTTTTAAAAAAGTTGCAAAAAAAAAAAATTGTTTAAAAAAATAACGTAGTTTTTTTAAATAGTAATTTTTAATAATTTCATGCTCTAATTAACTTCTAGTTGAAAAAAAGGTTTTCTACTATTTTATTCGTAAAAATAGGAAAAAAAATAAAAAAATAAAATACGCTTGCAATTTAAATAAAATAAACTGCCAACAAGCAATTTAATTTAATTTTAATTTGAGCATTACAAC